TAAAAAGGAAAGCAAGAACCAGGGACATCGGCCAAACAAGTCTGTCCACTTGGAGGAGAAGTTTCCAGATAACACGGATCTGAAGGACTTCCCATGGGCGGGGGGGAAGTTGCACACAACATCCGGGGAAGGGGACCAGGAAATTGCTTCTTGTTTTTCAAAGGGCAGCCGGTTTCTCCTCCAGGACAGCTCTGTGCGCGGGGAGCAGAGCTGCTAGGGGGCCGCGCCTCTCAATGTGTCCTGCGTGAGGTCCCGGAGGAGGCCACGGGGACAAATGGCCCCGTAGTGGCAAGTGGGGAGCTTCCGGACGTTGGATCAGAGCAGAAGCTGGCCTGGGGACGGTGCTGGGCAGGTAATGGACATTTCGCCTTCCATGGTCTGTCCCCCATTGTATGAAGAATTCAGGGGCGCCCACGTGATTTTGACACACCCTTGTCATCAATGGCATCTTCGGTTATGCCCCTCCGACCCATCTTTGCTGGGTTGTCTTTGTTTTGAGGGCTTGTGAGTTAGGAACCTGCCGCAGGTCTTATCGCCCCGCATCATCCAGCCTGTGGGTCAGGTTGAGGGGATCCAGTTGACGAAAATACGAACCAGCTGCTGCCAGGTTAATTCCACCTCTTGGGGGACCCCGTAGTCGGGTGGAACTGCCCCCAAAGTGTTTCCGTGGCTGTGAGTCTTTACAGGAGTAGCCGCGTGTTCCTCCCGCTGAGAGGCTGGTGGGTTCACACCGGTAGCCAAGCGCCCAGCGCTATGCCAACAAAACCAACTGGGGGAGGCTGAATATCACACAATTCGCTGGGCGACTTTTAAGGGTTTCTCCATAATATAGACAACTGCTATTTAAGTGAATTTTCTTGTATGTGAACTCGCAAAGACAATGACAATTATCTGTGCGCTGGCACAGCTGCACTGGCGAGAGCGTTTCCAGGGCCAAGTTGCTGGGTTGCCTTGCTGCAGAGCTAGGAAGCAGGGGCCAGGTCCTCAGCCTGGGCTGGCAGGTGCTCTCTAAGACACTGTGGCATGGGCGACCTCTGAAATGCTTCACCTGAGCTGTAACACCCACCCCTCTCCGAAGACAGAGGGGAACCAGGCTTGTAGTCAGCCCCAGGATGGAGGTCAAGCTAAGTGCTGGGCAGACTTGCCCTGAGCATTCTGCTGTGGCTGTTGGCTGTCTCCTAGATTCCCCGTCAGAGGGCCCAGATGACAGAAGACTGCCCCATTGTTACCCTTAGGGAAGCCAAGTGTCAAGGTCTTTTTCCCTAAGAGGGCTGCGTGGGTTTAGTTGCCAACTTTCAGTTATTAGCATTCTCAGAGGGAGGGAAAGGTCCCACACATATGCCGTACTTAAACCGTAGTTTCTGATGCCTGATGGAAACCCCTGACGGACATCATTCCACACCGCTTCTCTTGTCTATAATAGCCGTTTTGGTCTTTTATTTTTGAACTAAAAAACAAACAAACAGAAACCCACTGCACAAATATGTCCTTGATGTCAGAAACTTTCTCTAACAGTTTGCCAAAGACCCCATGCCCATATCAGTTTGAACTCACCAGCCTCTTCTTGGGAGTAAGACTTGTCTTTCTCTGCTCTACGCCCGTAGAGTTACAGTCTCAGAAACCCACAGGGCTGGTTCCACCAGTCCTATAAGGTTGCTCTGAATCAGAACCGACTCCGTGGTGGTTAGTTTGGTTGGAATTTTTGGTTGTTGTTGTTCATTTTTGTTTGTTTGTTTGTTTGTTTTTGATGGTAGTATAATTACCTTGCCCCACAGGGTGGCCATGAGCCAGAATTGACTTGATGACAGTGAGTTTGCTTTTAAATATATATATAGGAATACAATAATACCATCACTACTGCACTACTATAATGGCTTTTCATCGGAGCTAAAGATAAGCATTCAACAGATAGGCACATTTTCAGCCTCAACCTGTTAGCCTTCTGCATAAAGTAAGGTGACCAGATTTAAAGTGGGACACCATTGACCGGGGTGGTGGTGGTCTTGATTAAAAATGTTGTCTATATGGACCAAATAGACCATTCCCTAACTTGTTGTGCATTCGTTCCAAAAATCAAGACTTTTTTTAAACACCAAAAATTGGGACTGTCCCACCAAAAGCGGGACGTCTGGTCACCTTAGCATAAAGGTAACTTTCCTCCCAACATATCAGCAAAAGGCAAGTGACTTAGGAGAGAAATCACTATGAAGATGATCTATGTCATGAAGAAAGGGTTTAGAAAGCAACATCAACCTCAAGGCTAACTACAGAACACTTTCAGTTTCTATTTGATATTTTCTTGCAGTTTTCTAAGGATTTTCCACCTCCGACTAGAGGGCCACTTGGCCCTGCTGACTTTGGACTTCTGTAGTGCTTTCTGAAAGACAACCTGCATTTGCTAAATGGGTCTCCCTTGGTCCCACCCCCTACTCAGGACGATTTGATTAATCATCTCACACTACTGTATGGACATTCTTGGCCTCACAACAAAGATTTCCACTGACGCCTCTATAGAGTATAGCGACACTTAACACTGAGCCCCAGTTGTGCTGTGGGCCAAGTGTGGCTGTTCAAACCCACCAACTGCTCTGTGGGAGAAAGATGAGTCTGTCTGCTCTGTAAAAATTTAGTTTCAGAAACTCTAAGATCTATTTTATGCCACCCAATGAGGTCGCTGTGAGCTGGAATCAATTCCCTCTTGATAGTGTGTGTTTAGATGACTCCAGGTAGCTGGTGGAGCCCGTCAGCTTCCTCTAAGCATTAGAAACTCCGTCTCTTAAGGGCATCTCTTTGGTTTTCAAAAGATTGTCACACCTCTTCTTTTACCATGGCACAGACCAGGCAGGTATTTGATTCCCATTTTATGGAATATGAAAAGGAGAGGCCCTGAGCGTTCTTTGCCCAGCATCCCATCAAGAATCCTTTGGGGGCCCTGGGACGAGAACAAATCCAGATCAGCAGCTTCCCGTCCCAATGCCTTTAAGTCTAGCAGGGAGGAGAAACCAAGTGGAGCACAAGGTGGCTGTGCTTGCTTAGATTCTGTCCACGTTGTAGCAACATCGGAGACCCTTTGCTGGGAAGCTGTAGCTAGACCAAGCATTGCCTGCTTTGGCGTTTAAGACAATTGCCCTCAACTCGATGCCAACTCATGGCAAGCCCACAGAGTCAAACTGTGCTCGACAGGGTTTCAATGGCCAATGCTTCCGAAGTACAGGGTAGACCCTTCACTTTTGACCCTTTGGTGAGCAACTGAAAGCATTAACCGTTTGTACCACCCAGTGGGGAAATCATGCAGTTGTGGTTGTTGTTGTTAGGTGCTGTCAACTTGGTTCCAACCAACTCAGAGCAACCAACCCTACCCACAACAGAATGACACTGCCCAGTCTAGATCTTAGTCTAGGCAAACATCTTCTGTTAGGATCACCAAAGGAGCTTCATTAAAAGCCAACAACAGACAGACAAACCAAACAGTACTCAGACCACACCCCAGATGAATTTGATGAAAATCTCGGGGGAAGGGATCTGAGCATGGTGATATTAATTTCTTCCTAAATTCCGAAGTGATACCATTATGCAGTTGGAGTTGAGAAACACTGTGTCCTGCCTGTGAAGGATGCAGGGGCTCCGTTGAGGAGCAGAAGCAGTATTGACGCATGAAAGGGAGGCGGTGGGGCCAGCAGGGGTGGCTGCCGTGAGTACCTTGACTGGAGAGGGGTTGTTGAGGTTTATCAGAACCAGGGGCTCGGCGGCATGGGAGGACGCAGAGTTTTCCAGCCTGGTGGTCCTGCCTGTTCAGTTTAATTGAGAACAACCCACTGACTTCGCTGCAGGTTTGTTTGGCTCCCTGCTACTTGTGGGTTTGACAACATCAGATCCAATGTTCTAGGTAAACAGGATGTGCTCTTCTAGTGCCAAAGGATTCTGGAGGTCATAAATGTAACTCAGGTCACCTTTAACATGATGCCCCATTCCCAAGGAAATCAAAGATAGAAAAAGCAGAATCAGCTGTAATATGCATGATCTGACACTTTCTATGTTGGTCTCATTCTGGATCAGCAATCAATCAGGGTTTTCCTTTGATCAGTCATGAAATGTGCTTTGAGAGCCTTCCGCTTTATCTATATTGTTCCAGTTCATTGTTGATCATCAGTGTTACCCATCTCCTTTATGGGAGACCCAGAAGGCAGGGACCTTTGGTGGTTGTCTGTTCCCGCAGTTGCCTCCAATTCTGCATGTAGTACAGTCTCCTGTAAAGGTTTTTTGAGTTAAGTATCTGCTTTGGCTGTGAGTACATTGCGTGACCTCACAAGTTCATTACTAGCTTAGCATGGTCAGTTCATAATAAATGACTTTGGTCTTGATCAGTAGAATGATTGGAATCTGCCTTTTACCTGTTTCCAAAAAGATAGCCAGGAACTTGAAACCTTGAAAACCCAGCTGAGTGGAAGCACTGACAGTGGAGCGGCTTGGAATAAATAGCTAAGGGCTATGGAATAGCAACTGCACACGGTCCTTCCTTAAGCCAGGGGTGGGGAACCTGTTGTCTGCCAAGATCCATTAGGATATTTATAACATCATTCTCGGGCCAGTCTGGTTAAACATTTAATTAACTGGCCCCTAATGTGATTGCTGGAGCTCCTTCTGTTTGGCGAGGCGTGCGATGTTAGCTGGTCTTGATGATACCATGGACCATAGAAATGGGTCCTTGTTAGTATAGTGGTGGTAACCCTGCCTTTCACTCTGGAGGACAGAGTTCGATTCTCTGACAGGAGCCAAGGAGCACTGATGGTATAGTGGTTATGTATTTGGCTGAGGTCCTCATGGTTGGTAGTTCAAAACCACCCATAGCTTCTTGGGAGAAACATTTGGCTTCCTCCTCAATGGAAACAGTTACAGTCTCAAAAACCCACAGGGAGTCAGCATGGAGGTATGGCAGTGAGTTTTAAATTATTTTTTTAAATAAGTGTTTGCATAGAAATTACATGTTGGGCTGCTAACCTCACAGTCAGCAGTTTGAAAATGCAGTGACTCCACATGAAATAGATGAGGCTTTCTACTCCTATAAAAAGTTACAGTCTTGGCAATCCACAGGGGCAGCTCTACCCTGTCCTATAGGGTGCTACCTATAGGGTCGCTGTGAGTCAGAAACAACTCAAAGGCAGTGAGTGAGTGAGTGAGTGAGTGAGTGAGTGAGTGAGTGAGTGAGTGAGTTAGCAAGCAGGGGAGTGAGTGAGTGAGCGAGGTCTATGGCCCAAGAGCTAAGCACTCCCTACACCTGCCTTAAACAATGTGTATTCTTCATGGGAGACAACATATCTGCATTTTAAAAATCTTAATTATAAGCAGTATGGG